ACATCTGGTTTGACCATCTCTGCTGCAGTTGTGGGGAAGTCTGGTGGGTGCAGTAAGTGAAGAGAGACAGCTGAGGTGTTACCATGTCAGAGGATCACAAGCAAACATCTGCATCTTTGCATCAAAGCCAGGCAACGCTGTGCAAGGTTACTTTGCATCTTTGACACTATTATTAGGCTGTTTACAACTATCGTAAAGCAACTTAGTCCTGAGTGGAGTTATAAGAATGTGTTCTCAGGTCTGTCTTAGCCCCAAAGTTTGCATGGAGGACACAACTGGGGTGAGAAAGGGAACTTTTAGCAAGATGCTTTTCCCAACACAGACAGTCATGGCTGCTCCTCCTCCTTCATGACTAGGCTGTGCTGGGGAAGCACTTTTATTTTGTCACAGCAGAATCTGGGGGCCTGGAGTTTTTTCACTGTATGATTCTGCAGCTTTTACTGACCTTGCACCCCTGGAAGAGACACAGTCAGTAATACAGTCTCTTTGATGGTTTTATTTTTCTTTGATGCCCCAAAAGATGTGTTTTCACAGCCTAATGTGAGCTGGTTCTCCATGGACAATCTGAAGGAGATGAAGTACAGATAATTTTTAACATCACCAGCTGATAAAAATGCTATATTCCCCTCCCCAGCTTCCATCCTTCACTGGATTCAATTCCTAGAAAAATGACACCCAGTTATAAAAGCTAAAGCCTCTCACTATTTTCTCTTTCCATCTCAGTGAAGAAGGCCATTTAAATATTGTCAGACAAAAGCAGGTAAATCTTTTTCTTCCGTCAGCCCCAGACAACATCCACTTGCAGATCCCATTCCACAGCCCTGGGCTTCACCGGCTCTACCATTCAGATGTAGAGCAGGTGCCAGCCAGGGAGCCTCTCTCTCTAACACTTGCTAATGACTCATGAATGCATGTGCAGGAGCCAGTCTTGGAGAAAAGGAGAGGGTTTACAGGTGGGGTAAGGGCCAGGCAGTGTGGGGATCCCTCTCTCAACCCCTGGCAGATTTGAAACATTAGCGTCCTTTTCCCTAATCCCATTCTTCCCTGTAATTAGACACTTGCCTCACAGGTGATCTGCTCTTATAGGGATTTTCTAGGGCTTAAAAATCCAGATGACACAGATCCGGTACCTGGGACCTGCCTGAAAAGTATGTGCTAACTTGGAAGAGCTTGGCTGGTGGAGTGTGTTAGAAGCACTTGAGGACTCGCTGCCCACTTAAGACCTGCACAAGTGTAATTACAGTTATCCACTTGGCACATAATCCTCATTAGTTCTGTTCCAATATTCATTAACAATGGTGAAACACATGCAAGCGGCCTCAGATGAGAGACATGAAAGAAAGCAGGTGCCACAATACACATTGAACTCAAGAAAGCCTTCAACACACATGAAACCTCACTACCACTTCAGTGCCCCACTCGAACTGAAGGCTCTGGCAGCAATGGATTTTGCAGACTTTCCCCCGGGTGAGTTGTAGGAAACTGTCCGCATCAGAATGGGTAAGCAAAGAAGCCTCAGGGAAAAAAAAAAGAGCTTTTGTTTCATTCCAAAGTTCACAAGTGTATTTGGGGAACAAAATACAAACAGCCTGATCAGAGCATCCTTTTGAAGGAGAGTGGGGGAGATGGCTTCTGTTTTGAGGCTACTATGACCTTTGAAACACAGGGCTTGCTATTCCCCTCTGGTGGTGGAAAGAGCAGAAAACGTTTGAATACAGCTACATCTATGTGATTTGCTTTTAGTAAGAGGACATCTAACCAAGCCTGTAAGAACAACCACACTATGACTAAAGGGAAGAGAGGATGCTTGGAAATCTTTTGCCCATTACACACAATGTCTCCTTGCTCCCCAGGACCTTACACAAACCTGGCTCCAAGCTGTGCTGCTTGCAGCTGTTACGCAGACTATCCCATATTCCAGCTGGTGAGCACTGGTAACGAATGCTTCTAGAGATGAGCGCTTACAACCACAGCACTCCAGCGTCATGTGTACAGCAAGCACGGATAAAGGGTTGGCAAAGAAAGAGCAGACCCATCAAACCTGAGAAATTCGGGTTGGCTTACTAGCCTGCTTCCCACCTGCTTTTTGACACTCAGCTTTCCTGGCTTTTCAGGGAGTACCTTGGGTTTGTGCCATGTCTCCTCTGTTCCAGTCTGATTTTCCACCGCTAACAAAGAGCCCCATCATCCAGTAATTCTCAGGTGATTGTGAGACTGGGTTGTTAATGGGAGGAAGAAGCCTTGTCTCTTTCTTGACCTGCTCCCCTAAATCGTGGAGAGAAAGGAAAACCGTATTTTAATATGAATGAGGGTCTAATTTTTGTTATTCTTTCTTGAACCCCTTCCTTCCACAAACATGGTCCAGACTGTGAGCTATGACCACTCTACAGGGGGCAGGCTATCTGGAGCCAAGCGCTGGGCAAGTACTGAGGGCTCAGGGCAGGAGTGTTTTCACATAACTTGAGGAGCGTTCAAATAAAATAAAAATAAATAAAATCGAAAGTACCTGCTTGGGAGAAAGGCCAGGCAAGTTCAACAGAATATAAGAGAAGGATTTCTACCTGCCTTCCTCAACCACATACATCCCAGAGGAAAACATCTGTGGGGCAGTGTGGATCAGGCCATGGTTACTGATTCATTAATACCAAGCCTGCACTCTGCCACCTTGCTGAACCCCTTGCTCATGAGCAGAATGACACAGCAACACCCAGTGAAACTTCACAGCATTCACAAAACACAGGTAACCCATGCTTCAGCTAGCTACTGCAGGACAGAAAAGCACCTAATCTACATAAACCTTGAGACAGCCTCTGCTGCTATGACATTAAGTGTTCACAAACCCTGTAGATGAGGCCCTCAGTGAAACGGTTTAGTGGTGGCCTTGGCAGTGCTGGGGTAACAGTTGGACTTGATGATCTTAAAGGTCTTTTCCAACAAAGTTGATTTTATGGTTCTATGGCTCTATGATTAATGCTGATGAAACTGAGCTTAGCAATGCCTTGAGGAAACAGCACATAGCATGTCTGACCCAGTGGTATGAGCTCCAGAGCTGGATTTAAAGTGTCAGCCAGCTGCTGCTTTCCCAGCTCCAGTCTACAAAAAACAGTGTTTGCATCACTTCAGCGTAAAGATGAGCTCCAGCCCCCACTGAAGGTAGTGACCCTACTGACGTTAATGAGGAATCCCTTGTAGGCAGAACTTCCTGAATCAAAACATATTCTAGCCACAGTCCTGTATCACCTGTGCTTAGGCCAAGAGGCCAAGACTGCTTTTAGACCTGAGCTTCCAGCTTCGCTGCTGAAGGGCTATGGAAAAGGCTTGTTGCAGCATATTTCAGCCCAGTGAGTGGCTACATTCACTTCCATATACTCAATGAGCCAAATTATGCCTACTCACATGGTTAATGCTCCACAGTATCAGGCACAAAATGAACTGAGAGATGCAAAAGAGGGGAGTGGCCACAGCATGAAGGGAGTGAGGGACACAAACTTGTTCCAAAAAAAGCCCAAACTGTAGCTGCTATTTGGCCCTGTTGAGAAGAACAGGACTAGACTAGATCTGAACTGTGCTGCTCTCCCAGCTGAAAACAGCTCCAAAAGCAACACAAGTGGATACTTGCATCTTTTCTATGAGTCATCCCCAACAGGTGTTTTTGAAAGGCACATCAGTTCTAGACATTCATGGCAGTACATCCAGTTTTCAGTTTGATGGTGCCACAGGGCCGATGTCCCAGCCCTAGCAGCTGGGGAATCTCTCAGATGTCCACATTGCGCTTGCCGTAGCATCCTCTGTGCCTGGATGACTTCTGAATTTACCTTTCCAAGATGTTTGGATGTGTATCACTTATTTGGGGGAAAATAACTGGGTTTCTTTTCCAAACTAAATTCTGACTTTAGATGGTATGGTTTTACACACTCACAGAAGTCTTGTTCCTCCCATAAGGACACTAAAAAAAATGTTTGATCACCTGATTAAAGGTATGGCTGCAGAGAGGAAGCAAATTATCACTGCTGGAAAGTGGTATATGGAAAAGAAGATATTTGGTAGTTAAAGCATAAAAACAAAGTGAATGTAAGACAAGGGGGATGAGAAAATCAAAATATGAACAAAGAGGAAAAAAAAAAAAAGTAAAGAAAAAGGAGAGAGGAAATTAAATCAGTTCCGTGCACACTACAAAGCACATCTGTCTCAGGGTGGTAATCTGACCTACACGTGAAAACTGATCCATATATGAGAAGTGATCTACATGTGAGAACTGATCTATTAATTTTGTAATGAGAACTACAAGCTACGAGCAGTTATCCCTGCTGCGTTTCCAAACACGCGCACAGCTCCCCGAGGGAGGAGGATGTGCGGGCGGAAGCGGTGCTACTCCTGTTGTCAAAACGGAATCCCGCTGCCACGAGTGGGTCGCGGGCAGCGCCTGCTGGACTGGGAGGTTACCGACGGTGCGGTATCTGTCCAGAAAATCACCCCCCAGGTAGAGACAGGCACGGGGCGCTCCTGAGGCTGCCATTGCTCAGAGACCACCAAACCGCGAGGGCTTTGGTTTGTGGATACAGTCACACCCCTCCCCACCCGATCCTGCAACCCTGCGTTTGTCTCCGTGCTCGCAATGGGCTGGGTTACGTGAACTCGGAGAACGCCCGCGGGGAGCACGCGTGTCCCCACGAGGGGCAGCACCCTTCCTCGTAGAGGAATGCCTTCTAGTGCGTGCAGCCGCAGGCAGGTGCACTGCCAGAGACCCGCAGCCCCGGGTTGTGAGGGCAGCGGGACCGCCCGGAGCGGCGGGCACCCCTTGGTTCGGGGCTAGAAGCTGGCTCTGGTCCTAAGCTCTGTGTTTCACCCCTCTCGCCCAATTATAAGCCCTTTCCCCAGCGTCCCTAATCGTCTCTCTGCCTGGATCCTGTTCCGATCCTGAGAAACGAAAACAGCTGCTAATTAGGACGTGGTGAAAACTGGGCCCGGCAAGGACCCCTCCAGGCCAGCAGCGCCGCAGCGTTACCTGGCGGCGGGCTCAGGGCACCAGCTGGGTCTCGTTCCTCATCGAGACTCAAGAGGGGGAGGCGATATATAGTAACCAAAGGAAGCCCCTCTCTGTCGTCTCAAGCAGCTTGGTAGATACTTCCCTGCCTTTGTATACGGGTAGGTGGCTGTGTTCTGTTCCCTTGCACTGGGGGAGGTGGGGAATTTACTTGATGTGTCATGTACACTCGTTTGTATGCCTTGCAGGTGGTTTTTCAGGTTTTGTAACTCCCGGGCTGTGAAATCCTCCCAGTAAGTTTTTCATTTCCTTAAAGGAAGTGGTAATAGCTGGGAACGGGAGAAAGCGTTTATCTTGCTGCAGTTGCCTGTAGGCCCTCGCTTCAAATGCTTACTATCTATAAGGTTCTTTTTATAGCTGCACTGCTCTTGTTTCATTTGGAATCTGACTGGGTGATTCCCACCTCTTCCTGGTGCATAGCAAAAATGATGTATTTTTTTTAAAGCTACAACTCCGTTCAAAATAAGAAAAGGGAAAAAAAAAAAAGAAGAAGAAAAAAGGTAAATAGATGAGGAAAGAAGCTTGGAAAAGGTGAAGTGCTAATTCTCTGTGGCCCTGCAAAACAAGTCTGCCTGTCTCAGCCTTGGGCTGGCCGCTGGAGAGGCACTTTGTCTTCCTTTGTGCCCTCTTCCCCGCAGTACAGGCACAGCTCTGTAGCCACAGGCCCCCCTGCCCCCAGTCTTGCCGGGAGGTGGAGAGTTTATCTGTTTGCAGTGGTGGTCGCGATCCGCAATGCGGACACGCAGAGCCTCTGTATGCCCCGGGGCAGCTCCCCTCCATTCTTTGCCTTTGGGTGGGGAGAGCTGAGGAGGCGGAGGTGGGTGAAAGAGTGTTAAATGGGGGGGTGGGGGTGTCTGCTAGGCCCTGGCTAGCTCACCAGGCGGTGCTGCTCAGGCCTTTTGGCCCCGAGGGAGAAGCAAGGCTCTTCCTCCCAGCCCCCGTAGGGAGGGGTGCGCTGGCAGCAGCGGCCTGACCCCCACCGCCGAACTTAGAAGCCAAGTTGGGAAGCTGGGCCTTGGTGTCCGAGCCCTCCCCCACCCCCTGAGCACCCCCCAAAGCCCCACCCCTCCAATCAACTGACTTTTAACATGACAATGGCCATGACAATCCCAACGCCAGGATGGGGAGGACATAAAGCATCCCCCCACCCTTGTCTACCTAATGGGGTACCTGCCTGCAATCTGCATTGCCAGCTCGCTCCCTGCTCGGGCAGGGCGTCCCGTCCCGGTCCAGCCCGGCCATGAGCACCCACCTGGCCGTGCCGCCCTACCTGCCCTACCCTGGCGCGGTCAGGTATGGGGACTGCTACTGGCTCTCCGAGGGAAGCGTGGACAGCGTGCCGGCCGAGGCGGCCCCGGCGGCGGGCGCCACCGTCTTCCCCGCGGCTGAGAAGACTCCCAGCCACCCAGGTAACGGCCCGGCTGGTCCCGGGGAGAGATCCGGCTTCCCTCGGGCGCGGGTTGGTTGTGCCCCTTCTGCCTCGGGTGGGGGAGCAGGGGGGGCGACGCCGGTGACCCGACGGGGCTGCGAGGGGCTCTGCTCCGCCGGCCGCCCCGCTGGAAGCGGCGGCGGAGGCCGGGCGCGGCTGCCAGCAGCCCCTGCGTCCAGACGGGACCGGAGGTGTGGTGCCGCTGCCGCGTGGGTGCCAGTGCCCGCTTTACCATGCTGCTGTGTCTGTGGAGCCCCAGCAGGCCCCCAGGGCACTCTCAGTTTTGAATTCACCCGAAAAGCGGGACTTCGAAGTCGTTGAGTCTTTGCCTGACCGTGCTCACTTCGGTTCTCTTTCCTCCTCAGATGTCTCTCCAGCTTCCTCCAGCTCTGGGACACTCATCCAATACACTCCCGACTCTGCCACCAGCCCCACTGCAGAGCGACCATCTCCCTATCCCTCTTCCCAGAAGGTCAAGGGGGAAGGTGAGGGTGTGGCAAAGAAGGCCAAGAGCCGCACAGCCTTCTCCCAGAAGCAGCTGCAAATCCTGCACCAGCGGTTCCAGACCCAAATGTACCTCAGCCCCCAGCAGATCCGGGAGCTGGCTGCTGCTCTGGAGCTCACCTACAAGCAGGTGAACATCTTCCTCTGAGCTGCTGAGTCGTATCCCTGGTGTGAAGAGATCTTGCAAGCAGGGGGGTGGGGGTGGTTGTGCCTTTTTTCCCCTCCTCTTTTCTTGGACCCCAGACATGAGTTTCTTTCGTGGTCTTGTTTATACCATTGCTTATGTGGGACAGGAGAGAGTGTGAAAACTTTGGACTCGGTCTTCCACTTATGCTTGGTTCTAGTGTTATCCACCCACGCTGTGCAGGCATTTCAAAGTGACTCTGTGTAGCCTTGCTCTGTATGCGGGTTTCTGTATGGACATGTCTTCATAGAATGGTGAGGGTTGGAAAGGACTTTAACATTATCTCATTCCAACCCCCTGCCATGGGCAGGGACACCTCACACCAGACCATGTTGCCTAAGGCTCTGTTCAACCTGGCCTTGAACACTGCCAGGGAAGGAGCATTTATCACTTCTTTGGGCAACCTGTGCCAGTGCCTCACCACCCTCACAGTAAAGAATTTCTTCCTTGTATCTAACCTGAACAGTTTTAGTTTTAACTCATTGCCCCTTGTCCCATTGCTGTTCTCCCTGATAGAGAGTCCCTCCCCAGCATCCTTATATAGGCCCCCTTCAGATACTGGAAGGCTGCTATGAGGTCTCCACGCAGCCTTCTCTTCTCCAGGCTGAACAGCCCCAGCTTTTTCAGCCTGTCTTCTTACTGGAGGTGCTCCAGCCCTCTGATCACCCTTGCGGTCTCCTCTGGTCTTGTTTCAACAACTGCATGCTCTTCTTAGTCACAGCGGCATCTGGACCCTCCCTATATAGAGGGCTCAGCGGTGAGATGCTGCTGCAGTAACAAGCTGTGTTTCTGCAGGTGTCTTGACCTGTCTTTAGGTAGGGGTTTTAATGTTATGGAAGATCCCGTAGTGATCTGAGGAGCAGGAGTGTGTTTTCATGTCCCAGCTCTGTGATTCTGTGGCTACCTGCTGCTTACTGTTGGCTGCTAAAATTATGTACAGTATTAGAAACCAAGCAGAAACTGGATTTGGCAGAAGGCAAAACATCTTTAGCATGTGTAGTAACCTCTGAGAATGAGTTTCTAATGCCCCATGTCCTTTCCCCATCACTTCTAGGTGAAAACATGGTTTCAGAATCAACGGATGAAATTTAAACGCTGCCAGAAGGAGAGCCAGTGGGTGGAAAAAGGGTTGTATCCACCACAGGTAAGATCATTCGCCCTTCACACGCCTCCCCACTCTGTGGGGAGAAGTGCTAACTTGAACAGTGCACAGGACTTGCCCAAGCCAGTTTTCTTGCTTGTAAAAGGGCTTACAGTGGTATATATTTGAATCCTGACCTGGCACTGAAAGAGCTTTGTTTCCAGTCAACCTACCTCTCAGCTGAGATAAGATGGAAAACAAAATAGCCAAAGATGGCCAGCAAGGCCATACTGTTTTTCTCGCTGTCATGGTACTCCCAGACACGTTGACTTGGAGATTACTAACCTAAGGTCTTGTAATCTCTGCTACTAGTCTGTAGTGAGGACAGTGAGTATGCAAAAGACACTATTGAATGGCTTGGGGGAGGGAGCCGGGGAGAAAGTTGGACCTTTTGAAAAGAATGAGCACATTTGGTGTGGTGCTCTGCATTACTGACCAGCCTTCTCTGCCTCTCTTAGAATGGGTTTCATCAGGCTGCCTACCTGGATATAACCCCCACATTTCACCAGGGCTTTCCTGTCAGTGCCAGCAGAAACATTCAGGCTGTGACCAACATGCACCAAGCCTACAGCAGTGGCCAGAAATATGGGAGCGGGCAGGGCTTGTACTCGTTCATGGCTGTGGAGGATGAGGGATTCTTTGGAAAATCTGGAACAAGCTGCAATACCCAGCAAGCCATGGGTTTCTTAAGCCAGCAGATGAACTTCTATCACAGCTATCCTGCAGATGTGGATTATGTCAGCCTGGAGTCAGAAGACACCTACAGCTTCCAGAGCACCCCTGACAGTATTGTACCATTCTTGAGCTCTGCTGCACAGCATCAGTACCAGGCCCCTTGGCATCCCCTGGGGACCCAGAGTGATTATGACTCTTAGACCTAAGTACTTTTTTTAACTCCATTCTGTTTTCTCTGGGGTTTCTAGGGTCTTGACTCAGGGATCCAGTTTCTATCCCTTTCTCTTGCCCCTCCTCTCCTCCTGTTTTAACTATTGATGGGACTTGGCACCCTGCTGCCTTGGGTTAGCTTTCTGTTTAAAGGCTCCTGTTCATAGCCAACCCTTGGCAAGGGTGTTTTGTCTGTTGATAGATGAAACTTCATTCATGGAGGGGAATGTGCAATACCACAGCCAGGAGCTGCAGAGATGGTAGGACTGTTTGCTGTCCGATCTCACCTTCCTCTGCTGCATCTTCATCAGGCAACCTCTGACCCTTGCCCTTAGTGTCTTTCAGCTGAGCTTTGCTAAAGAAAACCCTGTACTTAAGCGTATTTTTGCTAGAAATACCCTGTTGTAGCCCACAAGCTCTGCTGTCTTGCCTGTTTCTTTTGCTACCTCAGTCAACTAATTACTAATAGGTTCTTCATATGCATCCGTTCCTCCCTCATCAAAATCCTACACAAGATCATCTGATTTCAGATTATTTGATCCAGTTGCTTCCAGCAGCTCCTCTGGGGGCGGGGGTCAGCATCTGCCTATGCTTTGCCTGCTGCCCTCCTGTGTATGTGAAGCAGTTCAGAGGAGAGGGAGGAAGTGGGGTAGAGTATTGGCTATACCTCACATCAAAACTTTGGTTTCCAAAGCTGCTAACTCACTTGTGCCTGCCAGGACATTCAGGATGGCTGTCTCTGTGACTGTCCCCACCTAGTTTAGATCTTGCCTTTCTGCATGTCTCTGCTGAGAGACTGTTGGTTTGTCCCAGCCTGTAAATTCATGGTGAGAACAGTCTACTTATCTGTACATGGTAGTCCCCGAGCACTTCATAAAGAGAGCACCACTACAGTGCAGATTTCTCTGCATGTAGAGTCAGGCAGCTAGGTAAAGGACTCTGTTGTCTTATCCCAGGTTTAGAGTATAAGCTAGTAGGATTTTTATCCCTTCCCTAGGGCTTATTGGATCTCTTCTGTATTGTCCTGCTGAAGAGGGCACTGGCTGCCTCATCTGACACAAGGACCCGAGCTCTGGGGGAGGTGAGAAGTTTAGGGAAACTTAGTTAGACAAAATGAAGAAGATGCCAATTAAAACTTCCAGGTTTGTTGATAAAAGTAACTGAACCATCCTTTTCAGTATGGAGAAACCATGAGGCCGCTCCAGACTATGAAAAACTGACTTTTTTACAAGATGTAGAATTTCAGCATCTGTTCTGTCACTGCCCAGGAACAGAAAATAAATAATAGTAAACAGGATGGTTAAAGCATAAGTATTTCCATGATAGACTTTGGAGTTTTGTGATTAGTGCAAACTTTTTACTGCAACCCTGGTGTCAAATGTTTGCACACAAAGGTTGCGTGTTATAGTTAAACTCTCACTGCAAAGAATAACTGTCGTTTCAGAATTGTTTTGGAGTGTATTCTCTTGCAGTGATCTCAAGCATGTTTTATGTTATGTGCATGTTGTCTTTTATTACGTTGTTTCCCATTAATGTTCATACAAACTTGTTTGAGTTGAAAATAAATCACTTTATTTTAATGATGAAACTGTGTGGCCAGCTTGCATTGGAACAGCCTGCTAGGAGAATGGTTGTTCTGCACAGGTTAGACCAGGAGTCCTGAGGAAAGGAATTAAAAAGCAACAAGACTGTGTTTCTCAAAGAACTACAATCAAGCAACTGTTCAGAAGGGTCAGGTCACAGAATTCCATCAGCCAACATGCAGGTGTGTTGCCTAATGCAAGGGGGTGCTCCAGCAGTAGGTTTCTGGACTGCTTTCAGTAAAAGATAACGATGGAAATATGAGGGTAGGAGCACAAAAGTGCCTCTGAGTTTTGTGGCTGCCTGCTGCTGCTCCAGAAGGTTGTGGTCAGCAGTCTGGAATCCTGCCTCATGTGAGGCTGCAGGGCTCTTTGGGCTCTTGTGCTAACCTCAAGTGACAGCAGAAGTTTGTATGTAAGTTACTGAATCCTACTTCCAGCATTGAAACAAAAATGTATTGATTTCCCTGAGACTGCATTTTTCTTCTTGGCAGCTGTATGAAACATTTAAAGGATATTTAAACATGTGAGATGCATGAGGAATCATGCATAAGGGACTTGCCTTATACCTTAGTTTGAACACATATGCAGCTTGCACGCAGCCAAGGTGCTGCAAGTGTTCATGGGCAGCACTACTACTGGAGAAAAGCAGCTGTCTGTTCAATAGATGATGCTACTGCTGTATCAGCAGAACCAAGTTACAGCTAGTAAACTAGCAAAATTGATGTGTTTGGGTTTAATCCCAGGCTCCTTAAGCTATAGTATACCACCAAAGCTTTCCACGGGGTTTAAACAGGCAGTTCAATAATTATTCCTACTAAGCACAATTAGCTAAACTGGCAGCTGACTGCTAAGGCTCTAACAGCCCCATGTCCTTTGCTGAAGAAAACCTGGTCCTGTGGGTGCCAAAGCCTGCTTTTCTTTTGCAATACTGTAATGATCTGCTTCCAAGTGTGAGGTGGAGTATGTGCAGGAAGTACACGGAGAGGAGGTTTGAGCCTGTAGTTGCAGAAGAGAGGCTGAGTTGTCCATGTGTGGGCTGCTAACCTTCAACAGCAGAAAAAAGTAAATCTGGCCTGTAACAGAGGGGGATGTCAGGTTCACAGGATTTCCTGTATTGCAGAGCGGAGTTCCTTTCTCATCCTGACCTGAGATACATGTCCCAGTGCGAGTTAGGATGAATTCTGGGTAATGATCTAGTAGTAGTGTTAATTCCAACAATTCCACTGAAAAACCAAAGCTGAACCATATACCTATAACACTCCTATAGCCCATGAGCTAGATGCCCATCTCCACCATTCTGGGCAGGTATCGTTGCTAAAATAGCAACAATAGCCCTGGGGCTGTGGTTTGTGTTGCTGCATATACCATGGGAGCATCCTGCAGAAATGAAATGTTCCTTCCTGGGTGTGCTATTCCCCTGGTTGTTCAGCCTGGGTTGCATGCAGATTTGTCAAGCACACGTGGTTGGAGGGAACATGCAGAGTGGCTGCTGTTGGAATTTTGGCAGGTGGGCTGAAAAGGACTGCTAATAGCTCAGCAAGAGTTCCTAGAAGTTGTGGAATTAAGCAGGACTCTGCCTTTCTACAGTACTGAAGGTCTGTTAACTTGTCATGTCTTGACCCACATTACTATGTGGAACAGTTGCACAAGTAATTGTAGAACTACTACTACCAAAACTGGTGGAGATGCAACTAATCCCACTAGACTCATATTTCCAAAAGGCTTTATAGCAATTACTCTGAGGAAGTAAGTGCATGTGAGCAAAAAGCCTTTTCTGCTGGGTTACATTACATCTCTCTGAGGACTGCTGCTTCTTGTGATCAAGCTGTGTAACAATGATTTCTGCACGATGCAAACAGAATTTGCTTTGCCAGCAAATTTTTTTAGGATCAAGCTGTAAGCTCATATGGAGTTCTTTATATGTATTATAGCTTGTGGGAATACCCTGCACTTTCATGGTATCTCTGTAGTGTCGACACTCCAATTTGTCAACACTGCAGATGTAGCTCCAGTGGTGCAGAGAATCACACGCAAACAGAAGTAAGATCTAGTATGGACTACGTAGACCAGAGTTTATTCTCTAGTTTACTGGGTTCCAGCTTTTGCTGTCCCATAGGCAAAATACCAAGCAAGTAGAGTGGTGCAAGCAACCTCATTCCTAGCTCTCATGTTAACATGGCCTGCAGCAATGTTATACAAGCTACAGGTTTCTTCTGAGTGACCCATGAGCTAGAGCTCACAGCCCCAGCTGTCTTTCCAGTGCAGATAAGAGGCATGATGTTTGCTTTAATAGATTTTTCCCTACAGGCATGTAAACATTGTATCTAGTTATCTAATTACACTGCGGGATTCAGATGCTGAACTAGCAGGGTTTTGGAAATTTTCAGTAAAGCATTGCCATGCATCTCTTGCTTGGCCCATCATCAGAGGCCAACAGCACCTTGTCTGATACTGGGAAGGCAAGAAGCATGAAGGACCCAAAATCATAGCACTGGTCTTAGACTAAAACCAAAAAAAAACCCCAAAGTTTTCCTTTCCAGTGAGGACATGTTATCTTCATGGTGTCCAGAGTTTTGAAGAGCATCCTCAGGTCATATCTGTGAATCTATTTTACAATCAGGCTAAAATTAATTTCTCATGCTTAATGGAGGTCCATCTGCTCACACACACAGTGTGTGTCTCTAGCAGATGGGCAGTGTCTGAATCACTAAATCCTTTACAAATTACAACACAAATTACAACAACAAATTAACTTGGGTGATTCCCAAGATCCCTCCAAGTCATTGCTTAGATACTAGGGAAAGACCAGAAGAGAAAGCAAGTCCCCAGCGTTTCACATCTGGGTGGCTGTGGCTGAGGGACTGCTGTAACAGGATCTGCATTCCTGCTCTTTTTACACAGGGCATTGGGAATGCGGCTCCTGATACAGCAGACATCAATGAACTGCCTTCCTGGAAATGGCTTACTTGCCTGTTGGAATTGCTTCAGGCTTTCAGTCTCCTGATCAGCCTATGGCAGTAAGCTCTAGCTTTGAATGATAGCCTCTGAAAAATGTTATGGGTCTCTAGAGGAAACTGCAAGATTCGGTGGTGTTTGTTGCCAATAGTAAGGTGATCACAACTGTTGCTCTTACAGACAGCATCCTCCTGCAAGCCAGTCACAGACTTCACAGCAGGATCCTGCCTGTCCTAAAGCATCCTTGAAACAACAGGGCATGGCATGGGACTCCTTTTCCAGGCAATTATTAGCAAGGAGAAGTCACAAGCTCAACTTTTTTACCTACAGCAGCCTTTGATGGGGTGGCACGGAAAGGTTTCAGATGACATCCAGGTTAGTAGCAGCACTGTTGGCTCCAAAGTTGCTGAAAAAACTCTCCTATTCATGTGAGAGCCCTCATGATTCCTGCTTCCACTTTCATGTGTTAACCAGCACCTTTTCAGTCAAGTTAACTTAACCAATCCCCACCTCTCTGATGATACAGTGGTTGCAAAAAGTGTCTTCCCCAGGCTTACACACTCTCTGGATACAGGATAAGGGGACAGGAAGGGCTGTGCTTTAAAATGGATCTCCAGAATGATATGACCTCCTTATTTTTTCCCCAAATCGTGCTGGCCATGCAGTTTACAGTACAGCTCTAGAAGCAGTGCAGCTGAACAACCACAGGGTTGTGAGGGAGTGGGGCTGGGAAAAAACAGCTGTGAAGCACAGGGACATAAACCAGCTTTGCCAATAGAAGACCATGCCTCTTAATACTCCAGTCACAGACATCAATTGCTTTCATTTTATGCCTGATTTTTTAATCATGACAGCTACTTCATTGCATTAGATAAAGTCATTGCCATCATCAGAGTAATAGAAAACCTGTTACTCAGGGAACTGGGTCCCTGCTATTGAATATACCTTGATACACACATCAGTTCAGGTACTTAGACACATACATAGTTTTAAGCTGAGAAATGATAGCACCTCTATGTTTTAGCCAGTCTCAGTATAAAATGTTGCTGGTTAGTGAAATTCCTAAGGCGAGTGGCAGTTACTCACCTGGTCCTTTGACTTCAGCTCTCTGGCATTGCCAAGTCATGAAGCTGATCCACTAATAACAGAAAAATCTGTTTCTAGTTTCAGAGTCAAATCAGTAATAACAATGACATACAGTTGCTATGGCAATTTATGCTCTATCAGGATCTCATATTGCAATGCTCTATTACAGTGGGGAAAAAAAAATACAAAAAATATATAATCAGTCTTTAAAATATTTTATTATTTGCCAAATTGAATGCACTGTTAGATTTTCTAGAGGGGAGGCACATAAGGATAAAAACTACAACAAAGGGCTTATTTATAATTTTGAAGCTTATAAGACAGTCTTATCAGCCTTTGTGCAAGCTAATTGTCACATCTCCCTTCACTAGGCATTTCATCAGCCCTACACCTTGTGGCTGACCACAGAACTAGTGGTCTAATCATCAGATACTTGGTGTGTGACAATAACTTCTCCAATTTCAGTGAATGATATGTGACCAGCACTTCTCCATACACTCCATGACTTCATGTGTTATGTATACACAACTGTACGGTGATATGTACAAAGGAGATCCCCAAAGGAATCTGTGCCTCCTCTTGAGACAAGTTACAAGATCCATGATTTAGAAGATCCAGGGCATTATCTAGGTAGCCAGATCTCAAGTCTTGCTATAAGGTTGTCTCTGCCAATAAAGAAGAGTGTGTGTGTGCATGTGTAAAGACATATGAATGAAGAGCTGTATCTACATATATGGGCAAACAGATATCTGCACGTCTGTGTGTTTGTGCACGCTTGCAGGCACATATTTGGAAGCCCAAACAGGTTCTAGCTACATGATGCCTCAGAATTGAAGAGCACATGAATAACAAATGGAGAAATGAGAATAAGATTTGATTCACAGCTGCCCCAAGTACCCCACATCCACAGTGCTTAGGAATGATAGAGATGGTGGCCAGCGGTGGTTGGGAAAGGAGCCCCCATGGTGGCAGAGTGGTGAAAGTTACAGCTGTCACCCGTCTTTGTGCCTGGATATTCCACACTGCCAGGACAGCTGTGGTAAAAGTCTACTTTGTGCTGGGCAATCAAGCTGGGCAGTGCCTGCTGGACGCTGCAGGTGCCCCCACCTTTGCCAAAGACTCCTCCATCTTCATTGGTCACAATTGTGTAAGCATTCTGCCCTGTTCCGTAGTGCTGATGGGGGGGAGGCATGGTTTGCATGTTGCTGGCTGCTGTGATTGGGTAGCCCTGGTGGAATTTGGGGTGCATGTCCAGGTAAGTACTTGGCTGGAAGGCACTCTGAAAGGGAAAGGCAGTGAGTCAGAATGCATAGCTAGCTTCTCCACTGTGACAGTAGCTTCCCTACAGAATAAATAGCCTGGCAGGTACTAGGGCTCTGTTCCTTTACATTTCATGTCTTGATAGGCAGCAATGGCATGTAACCACTCCCATAGCTCAGGAGTGGTTACACAGTTGTGTGTATATATAGACACATGCACACACACATATATATGTGAGGAAAACAGCTTTTCTCTGGAAGCATTTCAGTAGCATAGTCAGCCTATTACTAGGCTACCTGCAGAACATGGAGCTGTGCCAAGCCTGTGCCTCTGCGCTGAACAAATGAGAAGGCAGGGTATACTCATACTTTTATGCTTAAGTTACCACAGTCATGGAGGAAATATATCACAGGACTTATCTGGCTAGATAGAAGGCCATGCTGAGCCATACGCTATGTTCTTACTTGCGTGAGGCACTGAGCCCGTTCAGGCCACAGGCTATGCTTCTGGCACCTTTTCAGCTTCATCCTCCGGTTCTGGAACCAAGTCTTCACCTGGGTGGGGAAGGGAGAGCAGAGAAAAGAAAACATCAGCAAAGGAGAGGGAAGAGCAAATTTCTTCCCATTCACAAGCAGGAAGACCCAGGGGAAGAGTGACCAGATGGCATAGATATATAGGCAACAGCAGATAAAGGTCTGAAGAGCTCCCTGGGGTTGCTGCCAATGGGGATGTCTGTCTAGCAGCCTCAGCAGGTGGCTAGTGCATCTGCATAGTGGGAGGAGGGGACAGCATTCCATCCACAGAATAGTTATAGCCGTGACAAACTGACTCATTTCAACCATGGGGAAGAACGACTGGTGCAAACTAGACCCACGCAGGTCTCTACAAGCCCCCTGCACTTCAAGCAAGCTTCTAAGACACTGTTTCTGCATACTTGTGAGCAGCGCAGGGAAAGGCTTGCTCCCTGTACCCAGCAGTTCCCAAATTCAAAGCTCCTACCCTCCTACCTGCGGTGAATTCCAGAGCCATTTCCCCCTAGGGCTCTGTCTGCACCGGGAAAGCAGCCTTTGTGGCGATGTGGATTGAAGGAAAGACCAGATTGTCTCACCAGTCTCAAGTTCATGCTCAGTGTGTGCACGTGTATGTGTGCACCTACAATGCATATATGACTTGTTCTAGTCCCAGAGCATCCGGGCTGTCGTGCCCAACTCTGACATCCAAATTCCAGGCAGACTTTTTACTTGTAACTGCAAGCATTTGTAGCCCCATTGCCAGCCCCCTCTGCTTTAAGAAGGCATCATTTGAGCCAGCACCAGTTCACTACATACATACATATATATATATACTACATATACATACATACATATACTACATACATACACTACATACATACTCCATTTGCCTGGAGATCAGCAAAGACCCTGACGAGTTGCAGTATATAATCCTAGCAGTACCCACATGGAGAGGGGAGTGGATGTCAAGCCACCAAAAAGTGCTGAGTGTGGCACATTATTAGATCCTGGACAAGGTCAGCGCTAGGAAACGTTAGCAATATTTTTCAGCATGTTGCAGCCCTGGGATTCAGAGAACTGATGCATGCCAGGGTTTCTGTGATGTTCCCCAGTGCAAGCAAAAAGCCTGTGAATTGCTGTCAAGCCCAGGGCAGAGGCTGTTTGTGGCAAACAACATATTCATCACTGTGTTTGCAATTCTATTACAAGTGTTGGCAACAGTACCCTTAACTGACCCCTCACTGGGGAGGCCCCAATGAGGTGACACTGACTCTCCTGCCCCAAGAAGTGCTTCTGATCTCTGGACATGAATAAGCAGGGGAGCAACTGTTAGCTGCAACTTTTGCCTGTATTCTCAGGTGGGGACTTATCTTCTCATCCTGTCACTGCCTTATGTGACCATGCAGCTGCTCTGTGACAGATATACCATGGGTCAAAGACTCTATGTTCACCTGCTTGTAGGTGAGCCCCAGGGCAGCAGCCAGCTCCCGGATCTGCTGGGGGCTGAGGTACTTCTGGCTCTGGAACCGCTGGTGCAGGGTGTGCAGCTGCTCCTTGGAGAAAGCTGTGCGTTTCTTGGCATTCCTCACCCCGTCGTCCATGCCATCTTCTGTGCCCTCCTGAGACCTATCCGTAGGCTGTGGGGACGAGGATGCTGAATGTGGACTGGTGGCTGAATCTGGTGTGAATTGGCTGAAATTCCCAGAACTGGATGAAGCTGGGGATATTTCTAGAAATAAAAAGACAGTGGGAAAAAGTATGCAAGACATAATGCACAGCTGTATGGGTATGAGCATGCTCACTGCCTGCTGCAGAGCTCCTTGCCTACCATACAGGGGCTTTCCTGAAGCAAAGGCTTGTGTCACCCTCCTTCCTTCATGGATCTGTGAGCACAAACAAGCCCGCTGATTGTGAGCAGCTTCCCAGCTCAGCCCTCCAGGATGCCTGTGGCTCCCTTTTGCCAGCTGGAAAAGTCAGAGCAGGGAGGGGAGAATCGTACACATTGACTCCCAGTGTTATTATCCTCCAAAAAGCCCCGGTAATATTTCAGTCTCATTGTGGTCAAAGAGGCCTGGTCATGATTGCAGGCACAGCTTTGGGTTGGTGACTGGGCTCCCTGAAACCGCCCGCCCAGCAATCTCAAGGCAGTTGATAGACAGTGGCAAGGCAACTTCTAGCCATGGTGTACGGTGAGCCAGAGCAGACATTTCTTACAGTGATGGGGTGGCAAGTGGAGAGCATCAGCCAGGCCTTGGATATTGGCTCACTCCTGTTTGCCTGTGGCACCCACCACAGACCATGCCACTGTTGGAAATGCATGTATGGGGGGGAGGGGGGGGCGGGCACCTGTTTGGCTGAGGAGGGCTTCTGGAAGACAATGAAGGAGAAAAATTTGACATGGAAATGGGGAGGGAGGGAAGAAAGGTGGATGTGTGGGACAAGCACAAAGAGCCAGTAATCCTGTACCAGGGACATTGGGGACAGAATTCAAGAGTGCAGAGGAACATGTGCAAGCCCTTTCTCATTTGTGCCAGTGCATGTCTTAAGGGGGTCTCTGCTGGGGACAAAGATGAGATAAAGATCTAAAGGAAAAACTTCCTAAACAGTCTGGGCTACTAGTTCAGACAAAAGCTGCCAAGATGCAAAGGCATTCAGACTGCCTGAATAGGAAAATGCTGACAGGAGAGATTACCCCCGCACGTTTCTGTCAGGTGCCTGGCTGCTGGGGTTTGTGAGAAGCTGAGACCTTCTCAGGCTAGCCCTGACTGAAGGGATGTGATGCCAGTCTCCACCCTTCCCCATAAGTGCAGTGGCAAATCTGTCCATCCTTTCTTCCTCCCTCCAGCTACTCCTCTGCAAACCCTTCTGCATGGTACATCGCCTCTCCTCCTACTGACATTTCAGGAGGGGGGGTGTGCAATGAATGGGCAGTGCCATTTTTAGTACACACCTTCTGACTATTAAGTTCAACCAATAGCTTCCAATATCCTTCCTAGTCACCCTGAAACCCACACGAGCACACCCTCCCCAACTCCCCAAAGGTATGTCTAATGCAAATCACTGATGCCCTCCTGAGGAATGAGCTCCTTGTCCACCATATCAAACCTTCCCTTCTGCTTGAAGCTGAGATGCTGCTAAGCAATCACTCTTAAGCCTAGAGGCCCTTTCTGGGCCTCAGAAAGGTAGCCATGTCTGCAGCATCTCTTCTGAGAGTATCATCCTCGGGAGAGAGGCACACCTCTCTTTGCGGTGCCTGCCTCCCTAGGGTTGCCTGCACTCATAGGCTTGCTCTTGACTATTTCCTATCCCCAGGAGATGAGAACCACCCAGAGCACAGGCTGAGTGAAGAGGCAGATGTGCAGTGGGGCAGGTTTCTGGTGCGGGGGAGCAGGAAAATGAGGGTTACAAAATGAAAGGAGAAAGGGGCTGTCAGCAGACGAGGTGCAGGGACCTGAGGTGTTATGTGCAGGGGGACAGCCTGCAGAACCTGAGAGGCAGCTGAACATCTGCGTCTTGATGCACAGAGAGCTAAAACTTCATGTGGGACCACAAGATGGTTGGCTCCTGCAAGCTGTAGAGTAAAAACTTTATAGGCAGGAAATGGGCATGAATATGAGCTTGGAAAACAGAAAAGTCTTATGTTAGACAGGAACCACAGCAAGATACCATAGAAGCTAAAGCTCCCGCATTTTTCTGCTTGGCCTGTCCTCCCAAAACCCCATGTAATTTACAACCTGCAGTTTGAGCACAAGACAAAGGTGCTCTCCCTCTCCCATGAGAAGAGAGTGAAGGGAAGAGGAAACAAGAAACACAAACAGCAGTACAACGGACATAAACATGAAAACCTAAGGCAGCCCCACACCCACAAACCTTTGACACCAGTAGGCCTCTGCTTCCGTGACTACGCTCTCTGCAGAGGCCCCAGAGGAGTGTTCAAAGATGGGTTTCACGTCTATAAACCAGGCCCGCTGGGGGCACAAGTGAGTCAGTCCGCCTGCACCCTTTGCGGAGCAGGCAGCCTGCGGAGAACATCGGCCCTTCTCCGAGCTGCGTGGCAAGTGGCCATGTGCCAAGTAGACACTAGCCGCTCTGCCAGAGCCCGTAGCTCTACACCATCTGACAGCTTAAAACCAGCTCTCCAAAAGCTTGCTCTCCTCCCAGCCAGTAACCTTACACGAGTGTTACCCTGCCGAACATACAATGGGGCTGTGCAAAAACCTGCTTTCATCAGGCATTCAGTGAGTGGCAGGGGAATGGCGGGAACAGAAAACGCCGCTGTAGTGGGGCCTGGGACTTTTTTGCAGAGATGGAAAGGCAAGGCAGCAAGAGCACAGAAAGGGAAATGGAGAGGGGAAGATAGCAAACTTAAAAAAGCAGAGAGTAACAACGCTGGATTTAAAGGGAGATTTCCCGGCACAGCAATTCGCTGGGCTCAAGTTTACTGAGTACATGAAAGGTGTGAGGAGTTTGTAAGGGGATAAAGGATGCCACTAGCGGAATTACCTTCAGGAGCTGTTTCTCTCCATAGCACACATGACACCATTTGACTAAAAGGAGAGCTAGACATTTCCGCCCCGAGAACCATGAGGTTTCATGAGACCGTGTTGTCACACTGCCCTCCAGCCTGCAGCACAAACCTGCCAGTGCCTGAACTCTTGCAGGCTCTGCTGAGGTTTAGGAAACAGTCCCCATGGAAGGGTGGTGCGACTTGCCCAAGGTCACCCATCCTCCTTGCCCACGGCATCGCGCGCTGCCCGGCTCGCACACTAGGAAACCAAGGCAGGCAGAGAGAAAACTTTTCTCAGGGTCGTTAAGCAAAGCGGCTGAGCTGGGACCACAGGTACCCCCGGCATCCTGCCCGGCCTCAGCTGAAATGCCTTACCTGCCGTCTGCCTCTTCCCTCCTGCCTCCGGAGACTGACCGGCGCCCAGGGCCCCCCCGGGCCCAGCCGAAGTGGGGCCATGTCCTGCCTCCCCCGCCGAGTTCCAGTAAAAGTCCAGGTACCCCATGCCAGTCCCTCCGGGGTAAGCCTGGTAGGGGGGCAGAGCCAAGTGTGCACACATGGGCGGCAGATGAAGGGGTGGTTCCCCCACCTTCTAATAGATGTCACCTTCACTAAGGGGGAAGCAGGGCTCACCAGCAAGCTGAGGTAGCCCCGCAGTGTGGACAGGCAGTTACCTTTATAGCTGCCTATACCCTGCCTGGGACTGCAATATTCACCACCGTCTGCTCCTCGGAGCTCTTTGTCATGTTAAAGAGCCTGATGGTTGGGGTGGGGACAGAGCTGGGTGGAGGGGCGAGAGAAAGCCACACATGGTATCAGGGCTAAAATATGTCCCTCTGGATTCTTCCCATTCTGCAGGTTCCTCAGTCACACCTGAGCAGGGGCCTGATCCACAGCCCCAGGGAACCTCCTCCCACTTGCTTCTTTGGGCTCAGCTGAAATTGTCCTGTCACAAAATAATCCCTTGGGTGCAGATGTCCATGTAGAAGCTGTTCAATGCATTGGGAGAACACATACCAAACAATCCCCAACACATCGGAGCGGACAGCAGGCACATGTGGTGCTGAGCGCCTCAGTACCATGCTGGGCTAACTCAAGGCTCAGTTCCAGGTTATGGGGAGGGTTCTGAGACCTTTCCTTTGTAGCTTGTGTCACATTGACACCTTCACAAGAGCCACACATACGTGCACACACCCTCCCTGCCTGGCAGCACTTTCCACACTCTTGGTGCAAATGTCAGAGATGGAGCAAGGTGAGGAAACCAATAAGTAAAGACCAGACCTGGGGGCTAGAAGGTACACTTTGGGGGTTGGGCTTTGTTTTGGTTTGGGTTTTGGTTGGTTTGGGTTTTGTTTTTTGTTGTTTTTGTTTTTTGTTTTAACTGAAAAGGAATTTTCTTCACCCAGGCATTTCAGGGTGCCAGATGACAACGTGGATGGCCCATCTTCCACGTGTCTGTGCCAGAGCAAACCCAGAAACACTGGGCGAGTCACATCCAACACCACATCTCATGTGGCAGAGCAGGCTCGGAAATCTCAGCTGGCTGGTGTACAGAGGGACAATCAGCAAAGGCATTCTCATTATGGAGGTAGGAAAAGATTTAGTGCAGGTAAGGTCTGCTGCTAACAGATTTGCTCTGCTGTGGCCTTTCAAAGGCACACCCTTTCATTTGTTAGTCTTGGCTGGGGCCTTTGCCAGGCTGTCACAGGCTGGTTGAAATAAAGATGAAGAGTTTCCTTCAAGGCAGGGTTGGCTGATGTTTGCTGACATTGGCCACCCAAGGGGGACAGGCACCTGCAGAGTTTCTTCATTAAAAAACTAGAGGTGAATGAGCCACAGAATTCAGTAATGGGCCTACAGGTTGCTCGGCTCCATGGGCTTGCTCCAGTCTCTTCCCCCCAGGAGTTTTTGCTCTTTACGAAGATTTTATTAATTTCATGTCAAAAACCATTGCAAATCTCTAGCTAACATCTGTAATTGTCAATGCACAGGCAGAAGTCCCAGAGTTAATTCAAATATTTCTTGTTAGAACCAGCCCTGCCTTAGCACCAGGACATGTGCATGCCTCATGTCAGAAGCTCAGAGCTGAGGGTGCAGATCCACAGAACTATAAAATTATTTAACCCGGACCACCACTGCACCCCTCTGTGCCTCATTGGTCCATGGCTGCTTGTTGCTGCCTTCTTCCCAAGCCTGCACTAGCACCCAGTAGCTGCATGAACAAGCCAAAGAGGGAAACTGATTGATGTCAGTGTTCATCAGCAGGGAGAAGAAACAGACAGATGGGGTGAGCAAGACCATGTGAAATGTTTAAAGCTCTAAGTTTTAGTTTAAAAGGATGTAGAACACCAGTTCCTTCAGCACTTCTGATGCTGCTCTGTGTCCCACGGCAGGTTCCTAGTCCTGGCTTCCTTGTCTGTAGAGCAGGGGCAACTTCCGAGCCTTCTGAGATGGGAAACCAGAAGGAACTGCAGGACTGGCCTGTAGGTGAACCTGAAAATCAATGCAGCCGCTCCTGAGTCAGTCATGGGCACATCATTCAACCCACTTGTCACATCACAGCATGATTCTGCTGCCTTGGGACCATGCACTTGACCATGAGCTACAGACTTGGAGAGAACTAAAGGCCTGGCTTGAATCTCTTTAACTCAGTATTTTCTGTTTGCATCTAACTCTTCTCTATGTCCACAAACTGCAGGGACTGACATCTCTCTGCACAAGAAATGCAGTTTTAAATATGAAATTAACCTGGAAAACTAAAGCAGAAAAGGGGTTTTGAGCACATTTACCTCAATAGAATTACGAGAATATTGTGAATAAGACAGTTACTCTGCAACAGCCTCTACATGATGGTTTTGGCTCAAACCTCACTTCTGAATCATTCCAGGTTTCAGAGCTGCAGTACCACAACAGCTCAGGGCTCAGAGCTCTGGCACCTGTGTTGGTGTTCAAGTTGTCATGGCCTTAGGTGCTGTTAGAAAATGAAAACAGGACAGCAGTCCTGGGAGATACCAACATACGTTCTGTTTAATATGGAGACCTGGCAGAAAACATGTCATTGGGGTGCTGCCATGGGTGGCAGTAGGTGTCTGTACTTGCTGGGAGTCCTCGTGGCTGAGCACTTCACACTTGATCTCCTTGATTTCAGCTACTTCTGAAGGTGTCTGGGGTCCTTCTCACAAGGTGCCTAGAGGCCATAATAAACTAGCACAGTCACCTGCATTACAAAGTCCTGCTGGGCAGAAGCGGGGAGAGGATGGTGGCTGCCCTTGGGACCAGAAGCACCCGCCCAACTGGACCAGTGAGTGGGGCAGCAATAGAGGGAGTCACCTCCCCGGGGCAGGAGGGAGACCGACAGGCAAAGGAGCTGGAGGAACCCCAGGGCCTCACCCCCCATGGTTTCAGAGCAGCACCACACCACAGGGAGCAGCTTATCTACACCACACCACACATGACATAGTCTGTGGTGCAGGCAGCAGCTCCTGAAAACCAGCGCTGCAGGCAGCTGGCAGATGTGGCTTGGCGTCAGACTGAACCAGACTTTGGGTGGTTTGGTACTGTGTTATTCCAGTACGCGTTATTGTCTCACAAAAAAATATACATAAAAGCTCTTCTCAGCTTACGGGGTTTAAGTATCTTAAACAGCCTTTATCTGCTCTTCTATACCATGAAGCTGAAAGCACACTCCAATAAAAAGAGGGTAAATTCTTCACAGTCATGTTAGCAACATGTTCTTTCACCGAAAGCTAAGTCATTTGCATTCTCAGAAATAGCACTGAACTGTGCAATGAAACAGTAGCCTGTAAATGACCAGGTTTCCTCCAAAAAGGCAGGTAGAAAGACTAGTGGTCAGAGAGACCAGGAAGAAAGAGGAAAAGTCTTCATTCTCTGTCCCAATGCCCTCTATGATGTGGCTGTAGTTTGTGCTGACCTGCCCAAAATGGCCACAAAGTAGTGAACATAGGTGCAACTGACAGGGTAAATCAAAGGACATGAAAGGCAGGAGGTGCTGAAAAAACAGCCTTGAAAACTGCTCTGGGATAGTGGACATCATTCAGAAGATGCTCAAGCAGAGCAGATGATGGAGAACATGCTCCTGGAAATGGTTTCTGTAACTATGTCCTTTCATTGGCACAGCCCATATGGTTGCGACTACCTGATTTTCTTATAACAAGCCCTGCCTAGCCATGTTTGGTCAATGATCCAATGTCTTCTACACCTTCCCTAGGTGACCCTCAGCAAAATCATTCTTCCAGGCAACAGCTTTTCATTTGTTTTGGTTTTCGTGGTTTTTTTTGTTTGGTTGTTTTTTTTTGTCTGGATTTAGGAAATAAATTACCTTTCAGATCTCTTCATTTGTCAGTTGCTGCCCTTGTCTCCTAAAAGAGCAATCAGACAGGGTCAAATGGGAAAGGTCAGCTCTGGATAAAGACACTGGACAGACCTGACTTTGAGATGTCTGCACTCTGGCAAAGTGTCCCATGACAACTAACACATTAATGAGGCTTGACATGTACAGTGTGGATATAACAGAGCAAGAAATGAAAGTTAAAGCTGACAGCAGCCTGAATAGACTTAGATGTTCAGTCACAGCTTGAGCCCTTGTGGCTCACCTCTTCTTGGTGTAGCTCTGTCCAAGAGCCTCTTCAGTGAAGATAGATCTGATGCCACCAACTGAAGTATCGCTACACCTGCATTTGTTTGGGAGGCAAACCTGTGGTGGTTTGGGCTGCAACAGTTTAGAAGTCCTTATTGCTACCACTGTACCAGGAAAACACCAAGTTTCTTGGAGGCTTGGCCTCAGGAGACCCTTCTCAGGTGATGGTGGGGAGTAGCCCTACCCAGAGGGACCTGCACTGTGGGCTCAGCACCCAGCACCCATCTGAAAGCTTTCTGGGACATACTGGCTGTTTCTGTGACTGGTAATACTGGTGAACAAGCATTTTCCCCCTGTCTGAGTTGTATTAAAAAGACAAAAGAATGCTTTTTAGTCCTCCAACTTGCTGAATGGGATTTTGGTTAAGTATTCAAAGACAGTTAATGCAGTTGTTTAGAGAAAAGGGCTTTGACAGTATTGTTTTATAGTATTTCTCCTTTCTTAGAAGACTTAAGGCTTCAAATGCCCTGCTTTGTTTAAACATTTTCAGGGGCGATTGTGATTGACATTGATAGTAACTGCTTAATATAAAGACATTTTTTAAGGCTAGAAAGTAGAAAAGTAATACAGTTTGAATGATACGAAGTAGCTAAAACATTGCAACATTCCCACTCTGTTCCCCTTTTAATTACTTGGTCTAGCCTGTTGATTCTTTAACTTTGGTACGAATTTACTTCTCCTACAGCAGCATATTTTTCTCCGAAGACTTTTCTTTTTTGGTGATTGATCATCTTCTACATTTTCTTTGCTTTGTGTGAAACTGTGCTGTAATCTAGTCAGATCCCTGTATTTGCCTACTCGCACAACAGCCTTGTCCTCCTTGCAAATAATGAGTCTGTACCAGAGAAGTTTTTCCCTCCCACAACACATATGGTCTGTCTGTAGAGAGGATAGGTGGTGGAAAGGAAAATTTATGTTAAAAAATCATAAACATGCTGCTGTTTTGGGTTTCTTTTTGCTGTTGGTTGTTTGGGGTTTCTTAGCTGGGTCATGCTAGACTGAAAAATGCTGAAAAGAGTAAAA